TTATTATAGCGTACAAACAAACTAGTACATTATGTATATCTTGCCTATTTATCAAGTTCTTGATCAACTACGACCATCTATTTATAGGTCCAAGATATAATGAACATTATAATTATGAGCAATCAACATTTTTATGAATTCCTATCAAATTGCTATGTGCTGTGATTTATCTAATGATTGCGGAAAAAGTGAACTTAAAGTAAGATTTCTAAACAATTACACAATTCAAATATTTGTGGTCTTGGGACAATTGGCTTCATAAGAGAATTCCTAGACTGAAACCGAGAGTAAAGCATTTAAAATTAGCAGCCAAAGTGCCCTGTGAAACGGTAAAACACGACATTTCCCCAAATTTCATTTCGTATAATTCAGTTTGTCTTTTGAAAAAATTCTGTCCATCAAGTTTATGTTGTGATAACTCATAAAAAAGCATTCCAGACAGTTTTGAAGATGTCCACAGAAATTATGTTAATCAGAGAACAGGAAACTTGGCCATCTTTGTCTTATAATTGTTTTTTCACGAGTTTCGGATAACAATCTTATGATGTCGAAAAACAACACGAAGTTTTTATCACTCCCTGTAGCTATTACTGCTTTAGAAGAAAATAACTGCAATCACAATTCTGTTCTTTAGTACATACATATGTATCTGCGATAAAAATGAAGAAAGTTGATTACTGAAGGAGCGATAATACCGCTATTGTTTGCCGATGCCTGTAGACCGTGGCTTAGGGTAGCTCTAGTTACGTGCGAGCTCCGAGGATAATTAGTCTACTGCAGTGTTTAACATTTTTCTATAACACCACGTTCGGTAAACGCTTTTACATTATAATTTTGTGACCTACTTGTTGATTGTTAGTGGAAAAGTTCATGTTTTAGTGACTTTATAATGTACGTTTAAAATGAATCGCAATATATTTCGCTAAACGCGCGACTTGCGGACGCAAAGAACAATTTAACTAATTTTATGTTCATTGTGGTTTTGATTGCCAAGAAAAGGTAAGAGTAATGTTGGAAAATTCACAGATATTTATGATTACATAAAGAAAAGTATCAGAAAATATATTGCATTAGAATTTTAAGGAACGGACTTTAACTAGATTGCAACAAGATTCTGCTAATTTTTGTGTTGACTTGGTAAGGTTACCTTACATTCATAGAATCCATCATTCGTATATTCGGGTTTAATATTCCATTAAAATGATATTCCTCTTTCAACTCTTCATATAACTGAAATTCACGTGTAAAATCCATACATTTTTGTTCCGGCTGCAACTGACACTGAACTGACAGCCGTGAAATGAGGTAAACGACTGAAATAAATTATTAATATCCAACTTTGGATAGATACCTATTTCCATTATTTTTTGTCTATATTTAAAGTACTTTGTAATGTCAAAGCAAATGCCTAGATTCTGTAATGTATAATTCAGAAGTATTACGATGTAAAACAAAATAAACTTTAAATAATTTTAAAAACTACCTTTGTTATAAATAAATTGAAATCATTTCACGGCGATGATGACTCAATATTAACAATCGATTAAATAACTGAAGCTAACATAAACGTGTTAAAGTGGTTTACAATAATATTCTCTGATACACCGTCAATCATCCTTTTTATGTTTTTAATTCTTTGCTATCCTTACATTAGTATAAAACAAAGTTATTTGTCACGTCTGTCTTTCTATTCGCTATAAAGTTGAAAACTATTGAACAGATTTTAATATGATTTTCACGAGTGGTTTCAGTGGTTCTTCTTTCTGCTATAAACTCCGAAATAGCTTACACATTATTAGGACTTACTACGACTTTCATCAGTGAATAGAGCGGTTTGACAATACTACAGGTAAAGCAGCTGCTGGAAAACTAGTTGAAATAAAGTGATAAAAAAATCCTTAAAATTAAAACCGTTATTTTAAACGGTGAGCTTAAAAAGTAGTTTCGCTAAACGAGGCTCGTGTTTGAGAGCGCGGAACAAACGACCGCCGCAGCCCCCTTCATACGTGGAGTGTCGTAAATAGCACGCGCTCCCCTAGTTTTAAAATGTTTGTTATTAACTACCTACATACGAATGTGTGTACTTTGTGAATGCTTGAACTTTTTACACTGACTAACCCGATTTTTCACACTACAGTCGGTCTTTTGACGCGGTTGTATAATCTGCAATTTATAAAATCAACTTCTCATTTTTATGACGAGGGTGCTAAGGAATTAGCTTTTTACCTTCGCAATTATGATGATTCAGAAGACATTTAAACTTTTTCAATTACTACCAAAAATTCGTACCATAAATTGAAAGACCCAAAAAAGGTTATTCAATTTTCCAGTGGAAACCTATCTATAAACAGAAAGATGGCTGCGGTGACCAGAGGAAGGTTAAACCCGATTCACGCAAACTGTATATTTATGTTGTGTGTTTGTCCCTGGGCTTCCATCCGTAACTTTTACTACAAACAAGTTTGTTTCAAGGATAAAGACAGATTCGTGTACAAGGATCTAACTTAAGTTGTAGGCTTCGCGACTAGGCGTCTAGTAAATATCGATCTGACCTTGTAAAAGAAAGCTACTCATTTAAAACGAAGAACATTGTGTCGCTTTGTTAAAAAAAAAGACTAGCATAAAAATAAATGGGTACTTTTTGCTGCTTTCCATGCAGAACAGCCTTTTTAAATTGGTTTCTTAGTTTAAATAACTTGTTGGTTAAGTGCGTAAATTGATTAGACTTTAGAGAACAAATATTTTTCTACTTATCGAAATGAATTATAATTTAACGACGTGATTTGTATTGGTTTGGTTTTCAATTTAATAATAGTTATTCCTTTTCCTAAACCGTTACTCAATAGTTATAGGTTCCAATCCCATTATTTTTTCGTTACCAAGAATTTGCCTCTATTGGTTCTATCGATTGTAAAGCTTTTGTTGCGTTGCTAAGCTACCGTACACTCTTGTCGTATTTATGAAACCGATTCCTAGAAGACACCACCTTTTTTCGATGTAAAGGTACTTGTAATTTATAGGCTTTTAAAATGTCAAATACATAGTTGTGGACTTTACATTGTTTAGTCAGCTCATTCGACAGCATTGCTTTGATCGTATGCGGCAAAGCAAGTGTTACCTGCTTTTATAATGTTTGAACAACTATGCCAAAGCGACCAGCTAACATTCATTTGTTAGTTTTTTACTCACAGTCAAGTCATGAAATAAGGCAAACATTTACATAAACTTTGCCGTTACGTTTGAATAGTGTGATTACAATAATATTTTGTATGTGCTGCATGGATGAGACAAAGATGCAGATATCAAATGTATTGGCGTATTTGGGATCTCAAACGTGGCTTGAATAAAAAATAAGAGGAAAACAACAAAACATGTGCGTTTTGGGTTGAACTGTGAGTGTCAGAATCTAACGAAAATGGAATTATTGATATCAATCCACCTTTTATTTGCCCTCTTCTTTATCAGATGCGTTACTTTTATCTGCAAAAAAGGAATGAGAATAAAATTGTCCTTCCACGACCCTGAGCTAATTAAACACATCAACAACGAAGGGTTTTGTCCCTGTCCTGAGGTCCTGTGTTAATTAACCGCATCGAGGACAACTACTCAAATAAAAGTGAAAAGATAAAAAAAGTATCAAACAACTGTTTGAATGGATAAATGTTTGATCAATATATTGTTTGACACTGTAGAACAACGATACTAAAAAACATTGCAGTAGGTCCGACACCCGAGCAAAACTTGTCACTCAATCGGTTAAAACTTCTGAATTACTTCGGAGTCTTCCGAAAATTTTGTGAATAATTTCGTTCTGTGGACCGAGGCAGTTGAACAATGCCTGTAGAACTCGCTAGCTTCATTGTCTTGTGGCTTTCTGGTTCGCAACTGCCTGCAATTGCGGTTACGGCTTGCAGGAATGCAGTGGGAATCTGAAGCTTTAGTGTTTGAAAGAGGAACTTTGAAATGATAATAAGATGTGTACCCACAATGTACGTTATATGGGCTATACTAGAGATAGGTTTTTTTATGAGATTGGCCCGTAGAAGCCCGCAACGTCAGAAGAGCTCTACAAGTTCGTTGCCGGAATGTTGATTTTGGCATAATTTTGATGATCGTTTGTGTCATGCGAATGAAAAGACCAAAAAATCTATAATTATGTATTATTTATTGTATGCCCATCCGGGGTATGCAGCTTTTATCGTATAAAATGTTATAAATCATATACAGTTTGTATGGTAGTAACGTAATGCAAGATGGATGTTCCGCTGTACGTGAGTCGGATACGTAATTTTAATCAGGCACACAAGAACTAGTGCTCAGTGTTTATTTTAATCGAATAAAGGTTCAGTAGAGTATAACGCGGTAATTAGTTTATTTAGTCACTTCTCTTGATTGGTTTTATATCTATAGATTTATCTCGGGCTTTTAAACTTAGATCTGTGGCAAAATTATTTAACTTACTTTTGCATTTATAGTTAACACATTTTCAAGCTAAAACAGTAACCGTTTACTTTAATCGCTTGTGTAAATAATCATCTCCATAGTTTTCATATTCCCACTACGCAACAGAGGAAACATCAAACATGTGTTTCTTACTTTTTGATGTGGGAACAACAATGCTATTGAGTTACTTCACTAGTTTAACAATAGACTTGTGTGTAACTAATGATAGCTACAAAACACTCAAGAAAATATTAAAAACTGCTATTGGCAACGTGACTAACACTCTTGATAACATTATACAAAGGAGTTCATAGGTTACTTTACGCTGAGATACATTGAGAGCGTAATAAATGAAATTGTAGGTAATTGAATCGTCGACGCGGGTCGTACTCGTACGGTCTCGTATGAATCACACACACTGCTGATAAAATGAATCAAATAAAGAGGTTTTTTTTACTGCTCATGTAGTAACTTGAACACAGTGTTCAATACTCGCGTGGACCAATTCCTTGTGTGATAAAATTGTAAAGTCCTAATGTATTTTCCTTTGTCCATAGGTTGGGATGCGGTGGACGAGAAGGCGCCATTCCTTCGCAACGAGCCGGTGAAGTTGACGCCGGCTTGGGAAGGCAACAACCTGCCAAATGACACGCTTAACCTGAAAGGTAAGTTGATGATAACGTCACAGAAACAATATACCGAAAAGTCACTAAAATTGAAAAAACCAGTCTCACGTAAAATGTTGCCAAGACGAGATCTCAGATCTCATATAGTAAAGTTCTACAACACTACACTTTACAAGCTTCCCAGTTTACATAACATAACATCACGCCTTTTGTCCGCGAAGGGGTAGGCAGAGGTGCACATTATGCCACTGCACAATGTAACACCCACTTTTCACCATATATGTTATGAGTCCCGTGTAATAGGGGGTGAGCCTATTGCCACATACCGGGCACAATTCCAGACTCCGTGCTACTACTGAGATTTCTACTGAGTTTTGAACAAACAAACAAACTCACTTTCCGATTTATAATATTAGTAAGGATACAAAAACTTTATCTTGATTGTTAGTTTCAGGAATGGCATCTTCGTTGGAATTTCGATGGCAGGATAGTTTAGCAGTCTAGATTGTGTCGTGTGTAGGCGTAGTCGGGTTATGTTAGCTTAAAACTTTCACCAATAGAATTCCTGTCTCAAAGGAAGTTTTCGTTTTGTTTCTACTAGAACTATTAGAGAGGAAAGCTTGTACAAAGTAATGGACAGGGAACGTTTTTACCTTTCTGAAAGTAAACAGTTTGTGAAGTCCTGGGTTGTGGAGTTAAAGTTGGTTTGTAAACTGGGACTGTCGGGAAAATGCGACTGTCGGGCAAGGGGTCTCGGGTTCGATTCCCGGGTCGGGCAAAGTATTACTGTGTTTTAAAAAAAAATCTCAGTAATAATAGCACGGAGTCTGGAATTGTGCCCGGTAAATGGCAATAGGCTCACCCCCTATTACATGGGACTCATAATATAAATAGTGAAAAGTGGGTGTTACATTGTGCAGTGGCATAATGTGCACCTCTGCCTACCCCTTCGGGAATAAAAGGCGTGATGTTATATTATGTTATCATAAAAAAAAGAAAACACGTACAAAATATCAAAATCATACTATAATTACGTCTTTTCTCAACTCCATCTTAGTTTTCCTTCCCTTACCTTCCCTCCTTATGTGCTATTGGAACACAATATTTCTTTATTGTGTCTGAATAGGATATAATTAATTAGACGTCCAATTCCATTTCACTACGGAACGTAATCTGCTGTTAATACCACACAGAATAAGCCGAAAATTACTCCCAAAAATATATTCGTGATAGGTTGGTTTGTATGTGTGTGTCGAGGACTCTGATTGGCTGTCAAATTGACACGCTCGACATGAACGGTTGTTAACGCGCCAGGGAAATTAACCTTTCGAAAGCTTATAGGCCTAAAATATCTGCTATCAATATGAAGAATTTAATAATACAACTGATATCTCTCCTTTTCATAGAAAATCGTCACCTACGCGTTTCGTTTAGTGCCTTATTATCTAACTTCAAATTCCGCCAAACTAGTTTGAAGTGTTTGTTTTTGCTTTGAGTTAACTATTTATAGATAAGTTGGTATAGTAGACAAAAAATCACATGTACTTACCTAAATCGAAGTGTAAAAACTTGGCACTGACTGTTAAGGTCAATGACCTGCTGTGTTTTATTAACACAATCGTAAAATTACATCAGTATCAGTTTAATACTCTGTACTTAGTCTAATTTTCGACATTACTTTAATAAAATAAACCGATTCCAAGAGTTAAAACGTTTGTAAAGAACGCCATCTAGCGGAGCTTATCAGTACAATCGATTTCTACATCGCGCTAGCAAAGTTTTCATGTCTCACAGCATGGTGTTGTAAAATTAGAACTTGTGAGTAATTGTACAAGTAGCCCACTTCCAACGCAGTGGCTTCAGTTCCATAATAACTGGGCGTCACATTAATATTTCAGTGGGTATAATAACGCTTCACTAAAACACATGCAGGTTCCAGTGAATTTGTGTGCACCTAAGTATTGCGACAACTTTATTATTGCCGAAAGTTCGAAATTTTCATAAAATTATTTTAAAAAGATATCAGAATATTAATTATCGTTCAATGACAATAAATGAAAGACCTTTTTGCCAACATGAAGTACTATAAAAAACATAAAACAAAATATAAGATATACAAAAAGTGGATGTCGAACTTGGGATTCGAACCCGAGTCCGTTAAGTCCACGTGTTCTTGGTTCTATTCTCAGAAATGACGAAACTTTTTGTAATGGTCAAGATTTTGCTAGACATAATAATTCAAAATTATAACATCAAGAATATTATCAATTTATTTACCTAATTTTTATATTATGTACCCTATTGTCTTGATGGCTTTTTGAGAAGTGTAACTTCAGTTGCATAAAGCTTTACATAGAGAGGAGTGGATGGAGGGTAGGGAGCCCTTTACCCTGCAGTGGGACGATCTTGGCTGAAAATGAAATAAAATAAAATAAATAAAACTTCAGTTTATTGGATTTTGTGAATGTAATTTTAGTATACGGATATTAGAATTATTACTCGCTTAGAGCAATGATATAGGCTAACAATACAATATAGATGACAAAGTTGGGGTTTTAAAAGTACAAAAGTTAATGGTGGTCCAAGTTTTAAATGTTTAAGTATGATCTCAACAAATAAACACAAATTCCAGGTATCGCAATGGACTTAGCAGCTCCAAAAGACAAATGGCACCTAATATTCCTGACGTTGATGCTGCACGGTCTCGGTACCCTGACTGCGTGGAACATGTTCATCACGGCGAAGGATTACTTCGTGAAGTACAAACTGGCCAGCGCTCCCGCCTACTCGGAACACTACCTCGCTTACGTGGGGTGGGCCAGCCAGATCCCAAACCTTGTGTTCAGCTGGGTCAATGTCTTTTTGACGTCCAAGTATGTATATCTTTTGTTCTTTTTTATTTTATGCTTTCGGTTGTAGATGTTATAGGTAGGGAACGATTTAAAAAGATTTTGTGCTTATTATTATTTGGCATAACGGGGTGGTTTTTAGTCAGTAAGAGTATGACACTCCCTCCCACCTCACCCAGGCGGGAGCAGTCATTCGATGATTTCCCCCCCTTAAAAAAACTTTTATGGTGATCTTAACACGATTATAAGTACGGTATCCAAAATACCACAATCTTTTTTATTAATCTCTATGTGGTAATTGCTCGTATTACTTTAGAAATCAGATTACAACTTTAGAAAAATATGTATACCTACCTATGTGTAAATAGGAACATCTCAACAACTAAGACAGCTGCTCATTTAGCACCTTCGTTTTCAATACATACAGACTTGTTTAAAACCTACTGTTACACTTCTCTGCATCTGCATTGTATGTAGGTACAAAAAGGGTTATATGAAAAAAAAACACATCTCGTAATTATTTGTTTAATCCCCTCAAAAGATCCAGGGGCCAATAATCTGAATCATTATTTCAACTTCAAATTGTCATGCTCATAACCAACCATTAAATTCATACTTCTAAACGTTCCTGATCCGATTATGTTAATCAACATTATGTTTCAGTTTCACCCAAACCCAGTTAGTTCAGTTTAAAAGTTTTTAATTAACTCTTATCGAGTTTTGTGTACTTAACCGTGGACCGTTGCCGAAATTTTAATTGGTTCCGTAAGTGACCCGTGGGCCCGTGGGTCAATTCAGTCCCAAATAGCGGAGGGATCTATAATAAGCCCATATTAAATTATTTCATGTGTTTATTGTGTGATATAGCATACTATAGTTACTTTAAACATGTTAAATTTTGTAGGGTAATGTGACAATTTATTATTGTGACGATTCTGTGTAGTATAACACAAGTATATTTAACCCCTCGAGCGTCCTTATGAGCACCCGGTGAATCATAAGAAAAAATGCTCCAAATGGTGACATTTGGAGCATTTTTTCTTATGATTCACCGTGAGTGTGCACTCGTTGGATCATAAGGAACGCGGACGCTCGACGGGTTAATTCCTTATCTAGATAAAATATATAAAAATATTAGCAATTGAACGGACAGAAATATATAAACCACCACCTAATTACCACACCCAATCAATATAAAAGTATTGTAATTTTCAAAATTCAAATATAAAACATAAAATCTTATATCTATCCATCGTTTAACGCGAGCAAAAACATAGGCATCCGAGCTCCGTATAAATCAAAGTTAATCCGCACTTTAAACATAGTTTGCAACTTGCGAATAGGCTTTCAGCCAACCAGTTTTTTTTAAATATTTGCATAAGTTTCAAACTGCAACGAGCTGCTGCGGGATTAAAATGATTAAAGTATGCACGTGTTTTGTTTTTGTTTTAAAACGAAGTAGGAGCTACGGGAACGCTGTTTTAAAAGCGGTTTTCAGGAATTTCTTTTTTGAAATAAGAATTTAAATCGTTACAAAATATTCCTTTTAAGTTGTAAAATGTTTATCATAGTTTTGCAAGCTCTTACAGATTTCTTTATCACGAAATACTATCTGTTTACAAGTTTCAATTTTTTTTGAAGCATATACGTTTTGTACTAAATGGCTATGTAGCTGATCAACCTTCCCCAATCTATCTTTATTCGTTGGATTTTAGACTTTATGTCAATACAATAAAATTGAAGATGTAATAGAGAAATATGCCAGAAAATGATAGGTTGACCTGATGGCTACCGTACCCACTACCCAACGCAGTGATATTCAGCTGTCTATCTGAATAATCATATTTTATAAAAGTGGGAATATTAAAGCTTTACTAAAACACACGCTGGTTTCATTAAATAAACTTGTGTGCACCTAAGTCTTGCTACAAATAAATATACACATAGATGTGTCATATAAAATATTATACTCCTTTGTCTTGGGGCAGATATTATATCTATTTTGTGAAAATGCAAACGAGTACACGGATCACCGGATGGTAAGCAATCGGTGTCGCCCATAGACACCCGAAACACCAGAGGCGTTACAAGTTGCCGCCCTTTTGGGAGCTAGGAATTTTAGGATTGTTGAAGTTTCGGGGATTGGGGAGGGAGGGGGGTAATTATGTACAAATACGTGTTATAGATATATTTTTCAATATTTAACGTCCATTGTTTTTGTTCCAGAGGCGACCTTACAAGCCGTATTGTATGGTCGTTGATAATGGAGGTACTTATCTTCGTGTTTACCATCATCCTAGCTATGATGGACACGACCAACTGGCCCGGCACCTTCTTCTGGCTCACGATGATTTCTGTATTCTTACTTAATGGTGAGTTGCTGTTTGTTTTCGTTGTTCATGCTTTTTTAATTTTAATGTATTAGTTGATGCTTAGGTACGGTGGGAGCTCAGTATTCGTATTTGATACCCAAAAAACTATTTATTATCTAAATCAAATTACATAATAAAGCTGGCTACGCGTGTCGTTTTATGACGCGATACGCGACATGGCAATGCTGCTCATAAATATGAGCCCCTAACGTGACTTGAAATTAGTCAAGTTTCATCATCAATAACTTAACAGGTATACATAAGAGTTTTCGGGTCCTCTCAGTTATGAGTAGAGACTGTAACTTACGAGTAATTCTAAATAATTATCATTCTAAGCCCCGTTTTTTTTTTATTTTATTAATTTTAAATATTTTCACATATTTTATATGTAATCTGTGACATTCTTACAAAGTATATTTTTTTTTATTTCATCTATTTTTATTGCATTTTATTCCCACTACGCAACAGAGGAAGCATTCAATATGTTTCTTACTTTTTTAAGTGGGTACAGTAACGCTTTACTTACTGATATGTATATTAATTTTTATTTAATTACTATGCATGTAAGTTTAGCTACATTAAATTCAAATATGATTTTATGAATCAAAATATTAACATGATCAAAAACGAGATCTGTTTACGATAACCGTTATTATTTAAATTTTAAGTCGATATGATTGTTGAGGAATAAAACATCCAAACTTCAATCGCTACTATTTCATTTATATGGCCCCTTCTCTTAATAAATCTTTGAAACACTATCTCTCCAATTATTGTCAATCGTTCGTCCCTCAAGCTATCACATAAGGAGGTCAATTGCCACTGACTCTTCAATTATACATTTCATATCACTACTATAGGGCTCAGGGTTCGGATTTTGATTATTCAATCAGACATGAATTAGGCTAGGGACTCACGGCGTGATTTGCCCCCGTTGCACCGGCGCGGCGGGTGCAGCCGCTATCCCGCAGCTGCGGTGGCTAGCAACGGCGCGCTCTGCGGTCGGTTGGCGGGCTATCACATTAGGACGGCCGGTCTAGAACTCAACTGATTGTTTAACCGCCCGCCCGTCTTGTGATAATCAACCGCCAAGTTTGCATGCGATAATCGTAACCGCCTCGGCTGCGAGTTCGCAAAAAACTGCGGTCTTGTGATTTTGAAAATTCCGCCACGATTCCGCCACCGTGCACACTCAGGGCGCGAAAGATCGTGCCGTGAGTCTTTAGCCTTAGAACTCGTATATTCATGGCATAAGAATGCATTCTATTTAAATTGTTTGATTTTTTAAGTGACTTTTATGGTATTTTAATGAGACTAATGTATGTATGTAGGGCATTTCTTGAATCTTCGGGATATATTATTTTAAGTGGTGTACTACTATTATAAATTAATATGAATGTTTGTAAGGATGTATGTTTACTGCTCTTTCGCCTATAGTACTGGATTACGATCTGGAGTAACACATAGGGTTATTTTTATCCTGGGAACGCGAGCGAAACTGCTACTAGATGAGCGAGAAGCTAGGTGTATTGAATCGACTTTCTATTCGTGGCGTCACTCACATTACGTTAACATAATATCTTAATTATTATGTCGCGGAGAACCTAACGGGTAACCGGGGCTCCGGCTCGACGTGCAAGAGAAGGAACGGGGTGGTTTTTAGTCAGTAAGAGTCTGACACTCCCATCCGCCTCACCCAGGCGGGAGCAGTCATTCGATGATTTTCCCCCGTTAAAAAAAATCTTAATTATTATGTCAAGTTTCATCTAAATCAGTTCAGTAATTTAACGTGATTCAAAGTACAAGTTATCATTTAACTAATAAATCAGTTACATTATCAATTTAATTTAATTTTAAGTAACCAACAGTTATCAGAATTAATGTTAAAAAGGTTAAGGCCAATGTATATTTTATTTGGTTAGTAATCTTATCTGACGAAATGATACATTTGGTTACGTTCGTATTATTGGTTTGTACCCATAAAAAGATAAAATAAAATATGACTGTCGTGGGAATTACGGTATCCATGGATTTAATAGAATACCAAGAGTTTTATAGAGGGATTTATTGATAATATTTCAAACGTTGGCTCTTCAGCTTGCATTACTCCTAAGCTATTTGACTAGAATTTATTAGATTGTGCTAGAAATTATAGGAAAAAGAATGCGTCTGTTATGACGTCTGATAGGGGAGAATGGAAGAAGACATGACGCCGACCCTTCAAGTAAAGGCAAAGAAAAAAATAGTTTAAATTATTCTCATACCTAATTTTGTCTTTTGCAGGATTCAACGCAGTCTTCCAAAACTCAGTGTACGGTGTAGCGGCTCGGCTGCCCATACGCTACACTGGCGCCGTGGTGCTCGGTAGCAACATTTGTGGAACTCTCATTGTGTTCCTCAACTGGTGCTCCGTGTTCTTCGACAACCAGCGCACAGCTGCCATCTACTATTTCATCGGCGGCATGTTCGTGCTTCTCATCTGTATTGACACCTACTTCGCTTTGCCTTTGAATGTAAGTACTGAATTTACGACTCTTAATATCTCCTGGAACTTTAAAAAAAAAGACTTATAGCCATTTTCACCAACCTTTCCTAAAACATCTCTTAACTAAGAGTTACTTAGCGTGCACCTAAACTAAGCCCTTGTACCGTTAGGTAACACTTATAGGTTGTTGAATAAAAACTAAAAGCTTACTTTAGGCCCTGGGCCATTTTGGTTCCTTAAAAATTAAGAAAGGTTGGCGAAAACCGGCATTAGAATAATATATGATCCCACTACGCAACAGAGAAAACATGAAACGTATGTTTTTTACTTTTTTCAGTGGGTAAAATAATGCTATATCAATGTGACATAGATTTTAACATAGATCTATGTTATATTAGTATGGCTACATAATAATATTAGTATTCTTAAGTATACTTGATCTTGAGTTGACTGCCTTGTTGGCCGAGTGGTTGCAAGTGCGACTGCCGGGCAAGGGGTCTCGGGTTCGATTCCCGCGTCGGGCAAGGTGGCAAAGTATTACTGGTTTTTTTTTTTGAAAAATCTGAGTAGCAGCACGAAGTCTGGAATCGTGCCCGGTATATGGCATTAGGCTCACCCCCTATGACATGGAACTTGTCATATAAATAGTGAAAAGTGGGTGTTACATTGTACAGTGGCACCTCTGTCTACCCCTTCGGGGATAAAAGGCGTGATGTTATGTTGATCATGAGTTCTAGAGTTTTATTTTGAAAAGTAAAATATCTAAGTAAATCCTACCTATCTAAGTAACCTAAAAAATATCTAAGTAACCTATGTAAATGATTACTGTTGTAATACGCGACTGTTATTTTCAACTGTATTGTCTTGTAATAAAGTCTAGTACCTGTTTGACAGTTTATATTTTTTTTTATATCAAATATTGCTCTTTTACAGAAATTCTACCGCTACCACGATTCGCTGCAGCAGCAGATGGCGGCTGCGAGCGAAGACAGTAAGAACGTCAACAAGCCGCGCGTGTCTCGTTTCAAGATATTCGGCCAAGCGTTTGTGCAGTTGTACAACGTGTTCATCGTGTTCTTTGTCACCCTAGCCGTCTTCCCTTCTGTGATATCAGGTAAGTTGTTCAAAAGAAGGATCTAAGTATCTACTAACACCGTAACTGCCAAATAGTCAATGGAATTCCTTGCTAGAGTCTGTGTTTCCCTTCAAATATGACTTGGGTGTCTTCAAGTACCGAGTGAACAGGTTGCTCGTAGGTGTGCTCCATCGTCGGCCACATCATCGCTTGCCATCGGGCGAGATGGTGGTCAAACGTATATACGTAACGTGTAACGTATAAAGTATAAAAAAAAATAGTCATCAAAGTGTATGTAGTTTGCAACTGATTACTGCTGGATTCAAAGAATAAAATTGGTCAGACAAATCTGACCCTCGCTGTACATTAATCAAGTCGTCAAAGAATGGGTTGTAACATTCTTTTGGTAACCTAATTGCCTCTTAAGCGGGGTCTTGTGGCAACTAGATTTTGTAAAAAGAAAGTTATAATTTTGCAGTGGACTTAATAAATATAATGGTATCAAAATCACAAGGAAGCTTTTGTGTGGACATTTGGGCATAGCATACCTTTAAATGGACTTGTACCAATTTGAATGATGTTTGAAATGGTCCGTACTTATTTCGTGTCAGGATTTAGCAATAAAGTTACCTTTTACAAATTATAGTGTAGATTTTCAAGGTGTCTTTACTTCTTGTCTAATTATCTTTTCAGATATCACACCAAATGTCCCAGGGTTTTTGGGTGATAACTTCGTTCGAATGACTTGCTTCCTGACGTTTAACGTCACAGCAATGATCGGTAACATCACCGCTAGCACGTGGAAATTCGTAAGTATTCCTTTACAATAAATATTCCATCGTAATTAATACATGAAACTTCGTATATTAATTAAAATATGAGAAATGAGCCCAAAATTGTATTACACATATAAAATCACTTGAGCAAAAACTACTACAGGACCAACTATAAACCTTTATTGTACAAGCTAGTTTGTTAAGAGTCATTAGCTTGTAAAAGGACACAAAACTTTTTAATTATTGTAACTTATAATTTTGCAATTATCACCACTACAGTATCAATTTTAAAGCTCAATATCATAATACCCTCTCTCTAGCCTGGACCCCGTTGGCTGGTACTGTTCACAACTCTCCGTGTGCTGTTCATCCCGTTCTTCCTGATGTGTAACTACAAACCGGCGGACCGCACCTTGCCAGTCTACATCACCAACGACTGGGTCTTCTGGATAGCCTCCGTTTTACTCGGCTGGAGCTCCGGACATGGAAGCTCATTAGCTATGATGTATATTGGAGGGTGAGTATTTATTTTGGCATTTTGTGTCACAGATTTGTCTTTTTATCATATTTTACATTGAATCTGTTGTTATTGATTTGTCATTTATTGTTCAACTTAAAGGGATTAAACAAATTGTGGCATAGCAAAACATTTTTGTTTCGATTTCTTGTAATTTTTTGACAGTTTAACCAACTTTGAGATAAAACTAAACAGTACATATTGTTTTGAACCATTTATTATCATAACAAATCTGATTTCAATTTAACACTTCTAGTACGGTGGCTCCGGAGAACGCAGGCACAGCGGGTATGATCGGCGCGGCCATGTTAGTGACGGGGCTTGTCACAGGTATCACATTCACTCGGCTCTGCCCCATCATCGTCACGGCCGACCTTTGGCGCACCGCCTAGCGATCACTACACTACGTCTCTACGGCGTGGAACGTGTTTACTAGAAGACTAGGACAATGAATGACGTCACAATTATGACGTCTAGTGAAGTGTTGTTCAGTAAAGTGATCATCCAATCGAAACAAAGTTGGACAAGTGATATAAGGATTGTGACATTCAACTAAATGTGTTCTATAGCTATATATAATATGCAATTTATATTATTCGTTGACATGTATACAGTTTGCCAAAAACTAATAGTTTTATCCGATTTCTGATTCACTTTGTGTGTGCCTTTTATTTATTTGTTCATTCTTAAGTTTCATACCTTGCCATGGTATTCCTATGGTTAATCTGTCGTTAAGATGCATTTACTATCATCATCAGTTTAAGTATAATGTTAGCAACTTAAGTTGAAACCAAATATTTTGTCTCGAAGTACCTATTCTATTCGGAGGGCCTAATACAAGATTGTTGTACGTTTAACGAGATCAAAATGTAACCGCGTTTAGCCCTCTAATTGGTTGGTTCATTGGAGCAAGCCTATCGGAGCGCCGAACGCTGCTTGTAACGTTTCAAGCTCATCAACAAACTCGTACTAAGCTCTCTATAATACAATATCTCATTATTCGTTTGGTGCTTAACATATAAGAATTGTTTTATCTTATACCAGCAGTAAATACATAGTTATATAACTTGGTTTATGGGCTAAAATGGTATTAAATATTATCCTATAGACATAAGACTGTTTGACGATATTAATTCTGCCACGAGGCTATTTAAAAGTCAAAATGCGAGCGAAGCTTTGACTATAGACACCATAGATATATTAAGGAATTGGTTTTTAATGCAAGTTGACGAAGTAAGAAATGATAACTGACAAAAGTTTATAATTTTACAACATTATAATAACAAAATCTTAGAAAAATAGACATTTAAAGTGGAAATAGTTTATAACACAACAGTTTTGTTGAAATTTTAATATCATAAAGGATATTAGGTATAAAAATCGCTATATGAAATTATATTTGTAAAGTTAAAGTTTGTAAGTGCGTAAAATGTTTAATAGTTAGGACACTGCATATTATGAAGTTAATATATTTGTTATTATTGTAATAATATGTATTATACATTGTGTGGTGCCGTCTATTGTTTCTGTTGCCCTGTTAATAATGTGTGTAGTAATTATAATCATGGTTATAAACACTAAAAGTTAGGTACTGACATAAAGTTTTACTTATAAAACGAGTAGTAATCGACGTTCGTACCGCAAATCCCAAGTAGATCGATGTGTGTATCTTTTAAAAGCGAACTGAAGTGAAGGTTGGCGAATACTAAACGTCGTAAGCTGCTCGATAGCGAATACTAATACTAAATGTGGAATATCATTTCTATTCAAAGTAGTAACTCAATCTTGTAAAACTGTATGTGATTACCTAGCTTTATACTCCTCCTTCTAGCAGAAAAAGGCCGAAAGGTTTATGTATTAAAACACCACTTAATTAATCCCTATGCAAGGTCAAGGGTACATTTATTGTGTTCTTTAATTTTATTTGACAAATGCACTAATTCAAAGTGCTTGAATAATTGACTAAAATTAAGTATAAGTAATTTGAACCTAAGTTTTGTCGTAGCACAAATTTAAAACTGCATGTGGATGACATTTGTATGAAATTTAAATAGGGTGTCCGTTTCACGTGCCTGTAAAGGATGCAATTATTATTTGTACCTAAACAATAGGTAAAATAAAGTATAATATCATGGTTATTAAATATCATATCTTACAAAATTTCATTCACATATTTATTTAATAGAAAAATTCTAACAACAATGTTTTTTACAGACTGAAACACTAACAATTCTTTGATTAGCTATAAGACCCTAGAGAATTGTGGTTTTTATCAATATAGCTAGGTGTAACAATTTTATTTTAGATTTATTTGCTGGTTTGACTTGCGTTTTTTTGTTAGTATTGTGTGTGACGCATTTGAAAGTTTATTTGCGAATCGTGAATCATTTTATTTAGTATCAACATAATTATGATCTAGAGTATACTAGAAACATTTTTTTTACTTAGTTGAATGAAACCAAATAAGTGACTGTTGAACAATACCTGGTTTTTGTTTTAAATACCCAGCATGAACATTGTTAGTCCTATTTATTTAAAAGTAAAATGTTATTTTTTAAATTTTCTGATTTTTATTTTATTTTCACCTCATCCCTTCTAGTTGTATGCGTAAGTAGAAATGTATATACAGTAGTTAGGAATGTTATGTGCAAGAATTTAAGAAGATTAGAAGATGAATCCATGATAGAATCTTACTCGAGATTAAATCTTAAGCTGACGTAAGTATATTGCCCTTGATTTATATGTTGGGTAAGACTGTGATGGGTTTGTAAATAAATAGATGCTTAGTAATCTGCGTATCGTATACAAAAAGTTACTAAAGTGCGAAAAATCGCACTAAATATATGTATTTGGTACACAGTATACTAAGCTCCGTTACCTTAAGTACAAAATGAATATTTTAATAAATAGTTACCATCCAAGGAGGTTGACAATTTTGGTTCCGAAATGCTTCTTTGTACATAAAATGTTCCAATATGGTTGCACTCTAAAGTCAGTGCATTATTAAGTCAAAGTTTGAAGTCGGGCTGATCAATGAATGAATGAATAGTAAATGCTACGACATAGTGGAAAATCCTAGTCAGCTCTGCTAACTTAAAATGCTTAAATTGAAAGAGCCCTTAATAGTACTGATTAAATTACCTGCCATCGAACTTAAATAATTATAGCTAAGCCATTTGGGAATTCCATATTATTTTGTATGAAGAAGCAACGCTTAGATTGGTGTTGTGTACCCTGGTGCCTTATACATCTTCCATTGGTTTCAAACACCGCATAGAATAAGACTATTATTTGCATAAATAGACATTTATTTGTAAAAATAAACTTTATAGTTTACAAACTAAAGTCCATTTTACCAACACATACCTATGGAACTTAAAGCAAAAGAAAGGTCATTCTTTGGGCACCTGAAAAATAATTTATGACAAAGTCAGTTGCCTATCGACAATCTTGTTATAAGTTTTCCAAATAAAATCTGACGACAATAAGGGATTACTGAAAATTGCCATATTATAGAATTAGAATTTATCAGAGAAAATATTTAATATTGTTATTATTAAAATGAAGTGAAATAAAGTATTTGAAATTTTTAGGGCTTGTAAAGAAATTGCACTTGTAATACTTCCATTTCTACTAACTTATCCTAAACTATAGCTTGAGAAACTATCTATAATATATCTAACTCAATGAAAACGTACCTAATGTTAAATTACTAAAAATTATACCTATGGTTATATATTAAGCAACCAAATACTACCAAATCTAAATCTTTTACATCTAATCTTTATTACAAAACATCGCAAACTAAACTTGGTCTAAACTCAAAAGAAGATTTATGTTCGTGTAAAAATGAAAATGTTGATGTGATCATTTTTTCAGTTGCAAAAACTAATGAACTTATGGTAGACATATTTTAAGGAAAATTACTTGAAACAATTATATTATTATACCTACATAATACATTATTATACCTACTTATGTAAACAACCTACACCTAACAGACGTTCACCCTGATACTGTGAAAGGTTATTCAATTTTAAGTTGTACTTACATAATTATCGACATCTCTGTCATTTTACAAAGAATTTATAGTGACAGAACTACTTCAGCGCGATTTCAAATTAAGTGGCCTTTCAGTATTCAGGCAATTGCCCAGCAATTTTTTTACTTACTTGCAGAAAGTACTTATTTATTATTTAACACTTGGAACACCAACAGTCATGTAATTTGACAGGAATCCTCATACAATATCTAAGTACACATTCTAGAAAATTGAAATAAAATCTGCTTATTCTCTATCAGCCTTTTATATCTAATACTGATCTATTAAAATATATCGATTAATCGCTCGTAATACATAACTTAAACTTAAAATAAGTAAATAATGATTATGAAAATGATACTCGCGTAAATAAATATTTAAAAAGATATTAAAATTTTCCTCCTATGCTACACTTTAAAAAGAGTACCTTGAAAGCACTCCTTAGTCGAAGGCTGTGAATTAATAGCTTTAACCTTCCCATTGTAGATACCACAAGCACTTTTATCCTGTTCAGATGAAAATTAATTACCTAAATGAATTTTTCTTGAAGTTGTAGAAAAATAAATTTTTGATTTAATTTTCCCGCCTTAAATTTAAAAATTAATAGATGAGAAATGAAAACGTTACTTTTACACATGTTGCAATCGAATATTAATTCTAATATTAAATTTTAAATAATTATATAATATTTAATTTTCATCTGAACGGTTAATTTTTCTATCTTCATTCATCACCTGTTTTACGAGTACAAATAAGATTTTAGTTCGAATTTATTCCCCTAGCTTAGATAGTACCTACTCTTTACCCCTCCCAATGTATGTATGTGTATCTATACCTACCTATATAAAATTCTTATATTAGCGTCCTTGTATATACTTAGTACATTTATACTATATTTATATATAAGTATATTAGAAAAGTAGAAGTGTATGCTGCACGGCCATTTCTTACACTTTCATACTTGAGATTGTAATTGATAGAAAAAAAATGTAGGTTCTTGTGTAGTCAATATTGCTGCATAATATACAAAAAAAAAAAAAATTGATGAAACAATCTCTGGTGCTGTCACTTTTTCTGGCGGGAAATCTTTTTCAAATGCTGACGATTTCCATATACGTTAAAAACTATTTACCTTTTTTGCTTGCCTATTCGATTCCTATTTCAAATAAAAATATTATATTACCTATACCAAAATTATTCCAATTTTCAAAATCTACAATTTTATAACGATGAATATTTAGATTCAATAAGGAAAATATATGAATTTATAATTAGAAAGAAACCATACCTATGTGACAATAATGACGAACTTAGAAACATGTTTGTACCCGTACCTGAACTTTTTTCACT